TTGTTGTATGAGGTCAAGAGCACATGAGCTTAAAAAACCTTGACCAGGAACACATGGAAGAAAGATCCTGGGAGGTGACGGGCTCTCAACCACTTCAGGAAATGTCCCCAAATTTCCCAACTGGAGGTGTTACATCTGGAAGAATGGAGAATAATGCACTCTTAAAAGTTCTTTATACCAAATATGTTAAATGACTCAAAGAGATAAAGGAGGGAATGACAACCACAAAACAAACAGGATAAAATGAGACAAAAGCAGGTGCATATAAAAGAGAACCAGTTAGCATTCAGACGCGAAGAGCATAGTTGCTAGAATGAAAAACTGGTAGAGGGAGAATGGAATGCCATTGCTGGAAGGGTTCTAGCTAGCTTGCCTGGGGTTTTAGTGGTGTACTTGTACCTGGAACCAAGGCTTGCCTCAGGAGTTAAGTTCCCTGAGGAGAACAGATGTGCATGTTTTCTTCTCCCTCTTTCTTCTCTTTCCTGTCCCTGAAGCATAAGGCTGGCCCTGAGCTGCACTCCACAGCCCCCTCCTGGATGAGAAACAAGACATCCATTCTGTGACTAGGCAAGGCTGGCTAGCAGCCCCTCTCCTGTGGAATGTGAGTTAACAGAATCTTAATGACTGAGGAGATGTTCCTCAAAGGTCACCCAAGAAAACCAGCCAAGAGAGTCAGCTGTTACCTATCAAGTATGGGATGCTGGGTTTGTATCTTCATCCCTCTGAATCTCAGTTTCTTTGTCTGTATAATGGGTCCAGGGGTCACCATCACAGGCAGATGGTTTTGAGAATTAATGTGTGTATGACACTCAGTACATAAGATGTGTCTGTCTGGGGGCTTCATGACCTTTAATCTGAGCTCAGAGACACCCCAGACATGACAAAGCCACGAGCACTTGGAGGATCGGAGTCTCCACTATAGAATGGCCAAGTGTGAAACTGTGCAGGGACAAAGGATGAATCAAAGGAGAGCAGGAGGCTCCTGCCCATCCCAGAGGATGGAGCCCTGGGGAGGGCAAGGCCTGCTATGGTCACAGGCACAGGTGGTATTTGTAGAGTTGGTACACTTCTGAATACAAATGCAACCAGGCAACTTACAAGAGAAATGCTACTTTGTCTTAACATAGTAAGATAACATTTTCTCATCGGGAATGTGAAGATATTATTAAGATAATAAAACCCAATGCTAGGAATGATTTGAGCATAAACCTTTTGGGGAAAAGGGGGAATCAGTTACTCCCTGGCAAAACAATTAGGAAATGTGAAATAAAGGTGTTCCTTGCCCTCCCTCCTTGCACCAGGCCTCTCCAGAATAGGTACGTGACAAACAGTAATGTTTGGGGAAAGAATTGTGCTTGGGTGACCTGGGAACCACAGAGAGGTGGGGGCTTAGGTTGCTCTCAGCATTTGACAGAACTTTCTGGAAATTACAGCTCACTCACCAACCCAAGTGGGAATGAGGAGAACAAACTGCCTGTCACAAAAGGTATGCAAACAGGTGGGAGAAATGGCTCCCATCAGCCCTGCTCCTCCACACCAGGAGCCTGGACTGAGGTCCTCCAGGCTTTTGTCCAGCTCACATCCCTGACCCATTTGCAGTCCCCACCCTGGCTCAGAGGGCTGCTGCCCTGGAGGCACTGGGATAGGCTGGTCCTCCAGCTGTGGACAGCTCCTCTGAAGGTCACAATCTCCCAGGAAACCCAGTGGAGTCTTAGGCCCTGCATGGCCATTCTGAGAAGGTTCCTGTATACCAGTGATTTAGAATATGGCTCAGGGGCACTACAGTTGCCACCAGAGCAGGTGCCAGGCAGGATGAGGGCTGGTGTGTGCTCAGAGCTCTGTCCATGCCCAGCCCCAGTGGTTCCAACCTGGCTCAGAGAGTGAGGAGGACAGAGACAGAAGCATCACTAATAACCAGAGACCCTCCACACCCAACAGCCAGGCCAGAAAACAACAACCAGGCAGGCACTGATCACCTGCACCCGATACTGATTCACAACATATCCCCCTTCCCCCACCACGGCCCCTGAATAACGAGCTATGGGGAGGAGTAGGCAGATGGGCTCTCACAGTTTGTATTAAGGATTCTAGGCTGGTGGGCAGCACTGTGTGGTTGGGGCGACACCCACTGAAGCCAAGGGGGAGAGAGAGAGAGAGAGAGAAAGAGAAAGAGAGACAGACAGGGAGAAGAGACAGAGGGGAGAAGCTGCAAGAGACCAAAGAGGACTGAGAAAAGAAATGGCACTAGAAAGGGAAAGAGGTGGAGGGATGGGGGACCGAGCCCATGTGGTAGAGGGGCTGAAAGTTGGGAAGACAGTGCTGAGTGTCTGGCCTGGGAGGACCCCCTCCTCCTGAATGCTGGGAGATCAGCTGCATCCTCCTGCAGGCCTTCCTTCCCATCACTGCCTCCCAGAGAACCCCATGTGAGTCACATCTGCCTCTTGGGTGGCCACACATTTTTTTTTTCATGGTACTGGGGTTTGAACTCAGGATCTTGAGTTCTAGGTACTGTACCACTTGAGTCACACCCCCAGCCTTCTTAGCTTTAGTTTTCAGGTAGGGTCTTGCATTTTTGCCTGGGGTTGGCCTCAGACAGCGATATTCCTATCTATGCCTCCCACATAGCTGGGATCACAGGCCCAGGCTACCATGGATGGCTTATTAAGTTGGCATCTTGTTAACTTTTCCCCCAGGGCAGATCTTGAACCTTGATACTCCTGATCTCTGCCTCTTGAGTATCTGGGATTACAGCCACGCACCACCATGCATGGCCCTTGCAACATTTTATGAAGGTAACACACCTGGCCTCTGGCCTGCACCTTATGGCTTCTCCTCCAGGAGTAGACCAATTTTCCCCCACCCCCACTCTGGTGTTTTCCCAGATCAGGTGCCATTGGCTGGTTCAGCAGAGTTCCTCAAGGAACAAACAGGAGGGTACAGAGAACAGGAAGCCCCTGTGGTCCAGCTAGTGGGGACCCATAGAGGGTGCCCAAAGCTGAAGCCCCAGTCAAACAGAGGGAAGAGGAAACCAGAGACCTTCCTCTCTTTACATCCTAGGACACTCTTCCTGCTCAAACACCTTCAATTACTCCCCAGTACCTTTCAGATGTCTAATTCCTTGACCTGGATTTACCTTCTCTTTCCAGCCAACTCATCAAAAGAGACAGGCGCTGAAAGATTAAGTAACTTTCCCCAAGGGAAATGGGTGCTAAATCTGTGAGCACAATATAAGTTTTCCTAGTGGACATCAACAAAATGTGGATGAAACGCATTTCAGCTAGAGGCAACAATAAACACAGAGGCAAGAGTCAACACAGATACTTGGAGAACCTAGGAGAGAGTGGAGAACTTAGAGCTGCTGGTAGGAAAGATTCTGCAAGTAGTCCTTCAGTGACAATCGCAGGGGACGTGAGTGGGGGCCGGAAGATCATGAAGAAGCCTGGGGTTGAGCGCCCGCATGGTCCTTAAAGAGGACAAATGAGGGGCTGCCGCAGAAACTGAGCTGGCCTCAGCTTGGGGAACAGTGACACCTTGTGGTACTTGTTTGGAACTGTATCTTTTTCATAGAATTTATTGTGAGCCAAATAAGCGTTTTGACACAGAATGGTCTTTCAAAACCTCCTTCCATAAACTAATATTTTCAGCAACAATAATGAAATGAAACCAATAATATAATTTCTATAAAAGAAATGAAAGTCAAAATATATATGCTGTCTTATATAGTTTACATATTTGTTACTGTCCAGTAACAAATGAATTTTAATAAAACTGAAATAATTGCAAAGGACACAACTTAGGAAGACACTAAATCATACAATTGATAAAATTTTCCATTATTTACTTATTAGTTTTAAACCAATTAGGAAACAATGCTTACATTTTAATGTTATTCTAATTCAGCGATACTGTTTGTGTATAAGGTAATTTGTGCATTTACTGATGAAGACATTCTCTTATTCTTCTCAAGGCAGTACTGTTTTAATTTCTTTTGAGGCAAAGTCTCACTGTGTAGTCCAGGCTGGCCTTGAACTGTTGATCCTCTTGCCTCAGCCTCCTGAGTGCTGGGATTACAGGCATGTAACATCCACGCCTGGCTTGTTTCAAATTTTAAACACAAGAACTCTCCAACTGGTCAGATAGAGCGACAGAGCTGAAGTAATTCAAGTTCACATCTTTATCTTTATGATTACTGTGCTGTCTTTGTTTTGAATCTAATCACAGGAAGATTAGCTTCTGGCAAGGGTTGGAGACTCTCAACCATTACAAACTTTCTAAATAATCGCTCTTAGCTGAGTCATTCACCTTTGACTCTATCACTGGGATCACTAAATTAACTACCATTGAGAATACAAATTTCATTAAAGGAAAAGTAATAAAATATGCTAACTTAAGCTTACATTTAAATTATTAAAACTCGACAGTAAATTGTGAAATCAGAAAAAGATCTGTACCAAAGCTAACAATTGTCTCAGTGTCAATTTCCTAGTTTGACAACGTACTCACATGTCACCAAGCCTCTGAATCTCCTCTCTGCAGCCACCCACCTGGGCTGCAAGCTCCCGGTCCTCCCTTATCACTCCCACAAAATGGCCTCAGGCCTTCCAGAGCTCCTGGGTTCACACCACAAATAAAAAAGAAAGTTTGCCTTCCCAGAATACCTAGCAGACCTTCCTCCCTTCCCATTGGTTCTGAGTGGGTTACATACCTTCCCTGAACCACTAGCTCTGGCCAAGAGAATGAGGCTATGGAGTCAATCACAGCTGAGGGCTGTGTTGGAAAAAGAAATGCAGAGTCCTAACTCCATTTCACCCGATTTCCATGTGGGAAAATCAAGGCAGCAAGGCTTGGGGACTGTTCACCTGCGCAGGACTGAGCTGACACTTGGGACATCAGCTGTGACTGTTTGGGCTCAGGGAGGAAGGTGGAGCAGTTGAGTAGGGGCTCACCACACCACAGAACCACCTCAAGAGACATGAAAATGCACCAATGTGTTGCATCTGGTTGGGGCAGAGCCTGAGTGTGTTAAAACCGCTCTAGGTGGTCCTCATGTGCAGCCATCATGAGCACGCGCTGCTGCAATCCGCGCAGACAGGGAAGCAGAGGCCTGGCGGTGTGCACAGTCCTGGGTCCCCAGAACTTCATGACCTGTTTCCCACTCTGAACCAGCACCTCACTCAAAGGAAGACATTTCTAGGGCAAGTGGATAAGTGGGAAAACCAGTCTGGCCTCCCCAGGGGTCACATCCAGGCTTGGGCCACACAAAAAAACCACTCAGGCCCTTCCCACCAGTGCCTTCCAAAGACCCCCCTGCTGCCCCCACTCCCTTCTCCAGACTCCAGGTCTTGCTAGAAAAGATGAGGGTGCTCAAGAAGGGAGAAGTGGAGTTTATTGAAGTGGACCGATTGAAGTTGGTCTCTGGAGGACTCCTAGGCTTTCCCCAGAGCTCAGAAGAAGGAGGGTCCTTGTGAGCAATGCCCCCTCAGCCCAGGACCAGTCTGCACAAAACCACCCCTCGTCCCCTCCTCCCCCAGCCCAAAGTCCAGGGCATCAGGTGTGGATTCTAGGGGGCTGTGGGCCTGAGGCCTCAAGTGCCCCCTACCATAGACCAGCCAGTCTCAGCCAGGCTGCAGTCCCAGGATAGGCAGAGAACAAAGAAGAAAAGGCTGAGTGGGGGTACACCGGCTCAGGACAGGCTGGACCTCAGACACTCGCAGCCTCCACTCCCTGTCCACATTGTGAGGGGCCCTCTGCCTTGCTCGCCAGGCTGTAGTAATAGGACCGCATGCGCTGTTCCACTGTCAGGAAGTCCGGACGGTCCTCCCACCTGTGGGCACAGGGTAGACCCAGAATCCAGCTTAGGGGAGGCTGGGTGTGCACAGGACTTGACTGTGGTGGACTTTCAGGGCTCTGCAAAGCAGCAGGGCTGATGGGGGTGGAATATTGGGTGACCAAGGCCTCCTGGGTATAGGGTATGTTGCCCTATACCCAGATATTGCCAAACTACTTAACACAAGTGGCACTAGTAACATACAGGACTTTGAGACAACCACATGCAGAGAGGTGATGGGAGGGACTTAGGGAATTGAGTGACAGCCACTGATCAGGGGAGTGGGAGATCGAATGCAGAGGTACTGGGCATGTGCCAAGGGCCGGGACATTTGCGAGCTAGGCAGAGGTTTATATGGGTGTAAGATGTGACTCAGAATCGAGCAGAAGGTTGGAGTGTTCACTAAGTATGGGACATCCATGTGCAGTGTTTGTGGTGCTAGGCATTGGCTTTCTGGGTTTTGGGTTTGGTGTATTGGGTGTATCCTGATGGAAGCCGAATTGACACGTGTTGAAGCAGGATGGACAGATCCATTCCTGTCTGTTGGATTGCAACAAGATCTTGTTGTAAGCTGAGCATGGATGCAGGTAGACTAAATGTACCAAGCATGGGAATGGCTGTGAACCTGATAAGAGTCTTTGGGTGGGATGACACTGGATAGAGTTACAATGACACTAACTGATTGGGCCTTAAGACTTGTTGCCCCAGGCCCAGGGAATGGCTTGGCCTGGTCCCTTCCCACCCAGGCACTCACTTGTAGATCCAGCAGTCGCTCATGAGTGCGTACATTTCAGGTGGACACTCTGGTGGGCACTCCATCCGCTTGCCCTGCTTGATGAAGTCCAAGACCTCGGGGCCTTTCATCTTCTGCTCAAACAGGGTCAAGGGCATGCGTGAATAACCAGAGCCCCTCACCCTGCCTCCCCTCCCCAGCCCACCACCGCTGCCTCTGCCCACGCCTGCCTTGTAGGGCTTCTGACCATAGGAGAAAGCCTCCCACATGGTCACCCCATAGCTCCAGACATCACTGCGACTGGAGAACTTGCGGAAGTTGATGCACTCAGGCGCATACCACTTTAGAGGCCACTTCCCTGCTGAGCGGGCCTGGGGGAAGAGGGATACACTGCTAGGACAGGGCTCTGAGACCCTCTTCCCACCAACCCCACCCACCCTAGAAGGGGCTCACCGTGTAGTAGCTGTCATCAGCACCTAGCGCCTTGGAAAGACCAAAGTCACTGATCTTGGCGTAGTGCCTGTTGACCAGCAGGACATTGCGGGCCGCCAGGTCGCGGTGCACAAAGTTCTTCTCCTCGAGGTACTTCATCCCCATGGACACTTGGTGCAGCAGCTCTGCCACATTGCTCACGGGGACCTCCTCCCTGGGGTGGATGGGAAGGCAGAGTCAGCCAACAGACGGCAGTCTAAGTTCCAGGGTGCAAAGCCCATATCTCTGACCTAGCTGAGCAGGCACTGGATCACCATGTGTTCAAAAGGCACTTATTGAGCACCTTCTGTGTGCCAAGCATGGGGCTGGGTTACACAGCTATGAACAAAACCACAAAACCTTTGCCCTCATCCAGTCTGGAGGCTTTATGTATTGCCATCACTGCTCCCCTGAGGTGTCTCACAGGCTTCTCAAAGATAATACAGTCAAAATTGAGCTGCTAAGTGTTCACACCTAAGCACATGCATGCATACACACACATACACATCTCTTCCAGAAGCTCTGTCCTTCCAAGGCCCTGCCCTCAGCTCTTTCTTCTCCCATATCCAATCCAGCAGCAAACACTGGTTGCCTCCAAATCTCTCCAGAATCCTCCTACTTCCTCCCACCTCTGCTTCTGCCACCCTACCCAGCCCTCCTCATCACTGGCCCGGCTTTGCTCAGGCCTTGGGGCTCCCTCCTTACCCATTCCTTGCACCTGAGTCAGTTCACAGCCTCCCAGGGCTCCCACCTCACTCAGAGTAAAAGTCCAAGTCCTCCTACAGCCCCCAAGGCCAGGCACCATCTTCCCCATCACCACTCTTCCTGTATCACTCCCTTCCCACTGTTCCTCCATCATACCAGGCTTGGCCCACCTCAGGACCTTTGCACAGGACAGGCTCTTGCCTGGAATGCTCTTCCCCTAGATCTGTGCTAAGCAACCTCCTTCAGTTTACTCAAGCCTCATCTGCATCCTGACACTTCCAGCCTCCTTGGCCAGCCCAAGCTCTTGTTTCTGCATGCCCTATCTTCCAACATACTCAATATTTTATCATGATTGTTAGTGACTGCCCCAATTCTCCTACCATGATACAGACCAGGAGTCTTTGCTCTTTTATTGCTATGGCAATAGCAATAATAGTTACTGTCACCAAAACCCACCCAATAAATACCTGTGTACCTGTGACTGAATGTGTGACCAGGACACACTGTGAAGGTATGTGTGCCTGTGGATTAGCACAAACATACCTTGGTGAGTACACAGCCTTATATTTGTGAGTGGGGATGAGAGTTTGGGGAGTGATGGAACATAAATGAGATTGTAAAACTTAAGAGATTAAAAAAATCAAGAAGAAAAAAATATGAAATTGCAAAATTTTTCAGGAAAGGGCCAGACAGTAAGTATTTCAGCCTTTGCTAGCCACATAAGGTCTCTGTCACATAGTCTTTGTTTTGTTATTGCTGCTGTTTGATTTTTAACTCTTTAAAAATATCAAACGGTAACATGCGGTAAGCTGTGGACTGGTTTTCTGCTCCCTGCTTTATGTCACAGTCAATTGGCCATCAGCAGTTTCCCACAGGTAATGAATTTGGCCCAGAGAATCTGGCGGCAGTGACAGAGCTGATATTTAGAAAGCTCTTGCTCACAGGGCCAGGAGCTGTCTAAGCATCAACTCATGTAATTCAAGAGAGCCCGAGGTAGAGCCTGTTATCCCCACATGGTACACACAGGGCAATGGGATTAGCATCTCTGCCGCAGGAGTGGGGGTGTCTATGAAGATGTAAAAATGAGTGTGTGGGGCCAAGGGTGGTGAGCACCCATGTGTGCACATTCCCGCATACACACAAGCGTTAGTGAGTATGTGCACTTTGTCCTGGCTGGCCCTTGCCCACCCAGACTTACTTCTTTCCAAGCAGGAATTTGTGCAGGGGCCCACCACCTGCCATCTCCATGACGAGCATGAGCGCCTCGGCCTTGCACACCCCGATGAGCCGTACGATGTAGGGGTTGTCCAGCTGGTGCATGATCTGTGCCTCACGCATCATCTCATCCTTGTCTGCCTTCTCTGTGCTGTGCTTCAGGACTTTGATGGCCACGTCAATCTGCTTCCTGCCCAGTGCACGGCCGCGAGGGAGGTGCGTGTGTGAGCCGTGCGTGAGCTGGGTACATCCCCTCCCCACCTGTCTCTTTTGCCCTGAGTCTGGTGGTGGATGCTCTGGCTTGCCACTCTAATCAGAACCAAGGCACCCACTCCCTCCAAGTGCCAGGAGCATCAGCTGAAGTAAGTTTATAGCCAGGCTTTTGCCCATGGTCAGCAATAGTCAGCTGAAAAGACGTGCCTCAGCCAAAGTGACACCCTTCCCAGGGACAGCCTGTCCAATAACCTGTCCAATAATGCAGGAGGACAAAGGGGCCCCTCTGCAGCTTCCCTGGGCTGGGCCAAGGCCTCTGCCCCAACTCAGCTGGCCCAAGCTCTCCCTGGCTCAGGTCTGTGTCTCATTCCCTCTCGGGTGACCCCAAGCTTTCTAGGTAATCCTCCAGCATGCAGTGTTCTGCCCCAGACTCTGCTTTCCAGGCAAACTGACATGAAACAGACAGACGCCCCAGATCCCACCATCCCCACATAGTGGTACCCCACAACAGGGGCAGCCATACTTGCGCATGCGGTAGACACCCTGGCGCACTGAGCCAAAGTTGCCACAGCCGAGTTCAATATCAGCCACAAGGAGGTTCTCACGCTTCAGGAAGAGCTTCTTGTCCTTGAGCTCCTCAGGGTCACTGTAGGGACTCTCATACACACTTGTATCCATGGGCATTGGCCGTGGCTTGTCTGGAGATGCTAGACGTGCTACACACACACACACACACACACACACACACAATCATACACTCCCAAATCAGGGCCAGGAAAAGGAATGGGGGGCCAAAAGAGCAGGAAAGCCTCAAACCCTCAAGTCACAGACCCCAGACAAGGATGTACCCCTCCAGCATATGCACAGGCATGTGAGTGCACATGGTATTCACATACATATGCTCCTGTTTGCCCCTGTGGGTCCCCTGCAAAGCCATGTATATTCTAGAGGCATGCACATCAGTAGCCACATGTCACCATCAGGGTGCCATCCAGCATGCATTCACATGGGTACACCTGTGCTGGGCCTGTGCATGTCTATGTATGTACCTCACAGCCATGTTTATGACACCAGTGAAGGCAAGCATCTGGGTGCAGTGTAACCACATGTGCCCTTCTCCATGCACGCATGTGAACAGGTCTGCACCACACATGAAACACGTGAGCACCTGCACCAGGGAATGCAACTGCCACATAGTACTCATGCCATGAATGAGTGTTTGTGCATGGGAAGCCCCTGATGGCCAGGTGTCCTCCTGTGTCAGCACATTCTGGGATATACATGTACACAAGCAAACATGATGGGTGTGAGCATGTGTGTGTACAGGGGCAAGCCATATCAGCCATGCAGGTCTGGCCTCATCTTCCCTTGCCAAGTCCCATAGCCCAACCAGCAACCCTGCTCTCAGCTGGGCATGAGCCCCACCCACACCTCCACCTGTTAGCTCACCTGGCTCGGGGGTATATCCATCTGAGTTGAGGGTGTCCACCCGTCTCTGAGGCTAAAGGTCATGGTCAGCAATAGTCAGCTGGACCCAAGCTGGAGCTCCAGCCCTTCATGTGACCCATACCCGACAAGGACTCCCAAGGGCAGTGCTGGGGGAGACTTTCTTCCCCTCCATAGCAATCGAATTCTCCATGCCAGCCCTCTCAGGGCCAACTGCCTAGCCCCCTCCCCAATTCTGACTCACCTGGGTGAAGGTGGATGGGTGAGCTGGGAGTGTGGGAGCAGCAGCCCCTGAGGGAGCAGAAGAGACAGTGAGAATGTGGCACAGGCTACCTGCCCACCTGTCCCCACTGGCTACACCACTCACCTGCAGTGCTCGCACTATTGGGGCAGACCTCTTTCAGGCAATAGATGAGCCCATCGGCCTTCAGCTTCAGGTACTCCACCAGCTGCAAGGACGGACATCAGGTGGGCTTCCTCTCCTCCCTGGGAGCCTAAGCACCCATCACAGCATCTCCCCAGAACAGGGAGTACAGTGGCCTACCTGCCAGAGTGTGTCAAACTTGGTCCCCTCGGGAATGCAGTACTTGCCGGCCTTGTCCTGGCTGATGAGGTAGTGGTACACGGTTTTCCCATAGATCATGGACAGTGCGTATGTGCCCTGTTCCTTACGGGGCCTCAGCCTGGAAGGGTAGGGAGGGGTGTCACCTCTATAGCCGTCTGGGGGGAACCTCCTTTGCTTCAGTGCACACACCACACACACACACACACACACACCCTTTGGACTCCACACTCTGGAGCCTCACTGAGAGGCAGCAAGGACTGGGGAAACCAAGGTGTCATTCAAGCTCCATACCTTCTGAAGATAGGACATGGGGAGGAGGGCAGAAAGAGTGGCAACGGGTTCACAGGGAAACACACAGCTGTCCAAGGGCAGACAAGAGGCTATCCATGGGGGAATACTTGACTACCCATGGTGGATGCTCAGCCATGGGGGAGGGAACACCCATCCATAGAGGCCACCTAGCCCTCCACAGGTGATACTCAGCAGCCCATGACCAGACACTTGCCATCCACTGGGAGACAGCCATCCAAAGGGGCACCCAGTTATCAGGTGGTACACTTAGCCATGTACTTGACCATCTGTGGAGGGACACTTGGCCATCTATGGTGAACACAGAGCCACTCACAAGGGGACACTCAACCTTCAACAGGTAGACTTATCTTGAGAGAGAAAGCTGTTTCTACCCAGACCCACACAGATAAATACAACTGTGACTAGCTCACATCTGTGCATCTATGCAAATCAGAATAAGTCACCTGTCATCACAATAAATCAACCAGTTATAGTAACAGAGCGACCCTCTGATAGAGTGAGACCCTTGACTGCCCTCTGCTAGAAATTAATGTATATATACATATATATACACACATTATATACATATATAGATTCATATATGTATATGAATCTTCCATGTCTGTGATGGGAATTGAGCCCCTCAAGATGGTGCCTTGGTGCAGCAAGAACCTGTCCACCTGTCCTCACCATTCTCAGGGACACATGCACACACACACACACACACACACACACACACACACACACATGTATGCATGCACAAGCCAACTGAACATGAAACACTGGCACCCTCACATGAAACCCCATTCTGAAGCCAATCAGTGTCTCTCACAGTTTGTATCACTGGCACAAGGTCAGTATAGATTTTCAATGAAGGAGGGAGGGCAGCTGATCACGGGGCGGGGGGGTCTCCTAGCTATAGAAGGTCTACATAGGTGGCTAACCACTAATCTTTGGGATTACTCTGAATTGCAAAGAACTGGCCAGTAGTGGGCAGCAGGAACTAGCCATTGGGGTGACCTATAAGTGGGAATCCTCAGAAGTGTAATCTTGCAGGCCTCACCTGTAGATGTTCATTCACTGGACAAATATTTACTGAGTGGCAACCACATGCCAGGCATCTCTAAGAGCCTGGATATGATAATGAACCAGACAGTGTGGTCCTACCTTGTCATCAGGCCTTTCCTTAGACTCAAAGAACAGGGAAATATCCCTTATATCACCACAACAGAGCCTGAGTGAGGTACAGAGGGGCATCTGTGATCATCCCACCCATTCCCAGAGAGTGTTATTACCCAGACAACAGTGTAATGAAGGGTGATATGTTTCCCAGGCTAGCCAACAGCAGTCTGGGGATACTTGAAGAGATAGGAAATCAGGGTGGTGGTTGGGGTAATGAGAGAGTACCAAAGAGTGAGGAAGAGGACCAAATCACAAACTAAGAAGCACAAATACTAAATCACCTTCATAACTAGACGAGTGGGCTAGCCTGGAAGTTATGGTCTCTAGTGACTTGTTCTCTTCTTTTGAGAAGTAAAAACACCTCCTAAGGGTCACAACCTTAAGTTTTAAACAGACAACAGACACTCAACACCAAGCTACTCACACTAGCAAACGTGTGTAGAACACACACACACACACACACACACACACATACTATGCAGCTCTTTCCATCCTTAGACAAAGTCTATTTCTTTATCTGCTCAATCAGGATCAATCATATAACCTGCTTCAGCCACTATGATAGTCACAAACATGACAGAAGCAGAGGCTTGAAAAACAGCTGTGAATGGAGGCCTGCTGACTCCCTTTTCCTGGCAACCCTGCACCCACTGTAGGAATGAGTTCAAGCGAGCCTGCTGGAGAAACTACAGAGGAGAACTAACGCCCCAACCTGCCCCTGCCAGATGACTGAGTGAAGCCATCCTGGACCATCTAGCCCCAGTCACTTTTCCAAACAAAGCAACCTAATAAACCAGCTCAAGAAACCAGCAGAAGAATCACCCAGCTGAACTCAGCCCTGAGGGAATAAAAACTGTTGCTGTAAAGCACTATGTTTTAGGGTGGTTTCCTAAATAGCATGGGCTAATGGATGCACTCTCTTTAGAAAGAGACATGTGAGTTCATAAAAGAGCAGCTGCTAATTCCCAGATAAATAACCAGGCAGGCTGTGACACTGGTGGTGTCATGATATGTATTTCACTGCCACAAATTCTAGTTTGCCAAAAAGTCTACTATGCAGTGGTGGTTCTCTGTCCTCGCAGTTTGAACTTGTCCTTCAGTTAGAGGTACAGGCTAAGAAATCAACCATGCTTTCACTCTCAAAATAGCATACAGAATCTGAGAATGTCAACAAAAAGAGCTACTATTTTTAAGACATTGGTTCTAAGTTCTTCACATATTTGTCATTTAATCTTCACAGCATTCCCCAGAGGGTAAATACTATTATCATCATCACCATTTTTTCAGACTGCACAAGAAGATTATATCTCTTGCCTAAAGCACAGCTGTTAAGAGGCAGAGCCAAGATTTAAATTCACTTCTGACTCTACTGCTAGTGACTATCTACAACTGACACCCAGCAACCCGCTCTGTTGATCAAAGCAACATGGCCAACTGACCATGGACCGCAATCTCTAAAACTGTGAGCCAAAATAATCCTTTTCTCTTTATAAGTTGTTTTATCTCAAGTATTTGTTATAGTGTGTGTAGAATATATATATTCTCTTCCCATCCATAGACAGAGTCTAATTCTCTATTTATTCAATCGGGGCTCAACCATGTGACCTGGTTATGAAAGGACCTTAAGTTTCAGTAGGATTTCCAAAGGGGTCCATGATCCAGAAAATCAATGTGCTCTTAAAGGCCCTCTCCAGGGATCAAATTCCTTTTCAAGTTGAATCAATCAGAACCACAAAAATGCCATCAATTACAAAGAAGCAAAGCAAACTTTTGTAGCACACAGTGTACTTTCATCTACTCTTTAGCAACTTCAACCTGTGGTCAACAGTAAGCATGGTCTTGGTCTTAATTATAGGTTTGAGTGGCATGAGTCTTTCTATCATACCCTAAATCCTCATCTTAGAATGAGAAATGTCCTCTCCCTCTTCCCCATATGGGGTTCTGTTACTGAAGCTTACTGATTATAGGGACTGCAAGAAGAATCCATAACTATTTCCTTCCAAAAACCTGCCTTGCCTAAATCGCTAAGTCTGGTTCCTCACAGGTTTTCCTGGTCTCTTGACATTACCTTCATAATGTCACAGTTCAACTGTTTTTCTTGTCTCACTGTCAGTCTCAGTCTCGACACTGTGCCCAGATCCTGAATCCCCTAACTGCAATGTCCTTCCACAAAAGCTGGTCCTATTTGCCTCTAGGACTTCAAGCCAGTTTGATCCCCAAAGCTTTTGGTCCTGGTTTTCCTGAGATTCCTCTTATCTCAATTGACTGGCTAAATCAAAGCCCATCCAAAACTACGTGTGTGCAAAACGTTCGCAAACTTTTCCTTTGGGCAGTGGAATTGTCAAACAATATTGTACTCAGAAACTTACGATACAAAATAGGTAAAAGTCAAGCCATGCCAGAGGCTCAGAATCCCACTTGTTCAACCCACTACTAACTTCTCTCATCCAGACTCTTTTGATATTTTCAGGATGTCTTAGGGAATCTGGCGTAACGTTTAAAACTATTGGAAAGGTGGTGCCCTTGTGTGTATGTCAAGGTGTGTGAATGCAAGATGGGGAAGTGAGGGTGGAAGTGAGGAAAGGAGGGAAGAAGAAAAAGCTTTGTGGAATGAAAAGTTGCATCAGGGACTTCAAAGAAAACCCACAAAGGAAACCCAGATTACAAAATCAAAGAAAGATGAATTTACATTTATGAAGGAGAAAGCAGAGAGGAGAAAGAATGGGCTGAGGCAAGAAGGACTGTGACATCTCCCTGTATGGAGAGAGCCCCAACACTCAGGCACCTGGGATGACTGTGGGGTAATGTGAGCATGAGCAAGTGGACATGAGCAAGTGGGAGACGTGCTGCCCAATGTTGGAAATGTCTTTGTAAGCATCCCACCAGGCACAGGTGATGCAGCATCTAGATAACATGGAGGAGTGACTGGAGCAGCCATCAACACGTACCAGAAGAAAGAGCCCTCCACGTGTTTGTGGACCGTCCAAATGGAAAGAATGCTCAATCACCCAGGTTTGAGATGCCTGCGCTTTCTTGATGACCCCCGTGTTCCAAACCTATGATAGATGTTTGCAAAATCAACTGCCTTAATTCTTCTTCCAAGGGTAAGCCCTTTCCCCATAGTGTCTCTGGTTTTGGCCATGTGACTTGCTTGTGTCAAGAGGACATCAGTAACATTGCACAAACAGACACCTGGAAAGTTCTCGTACACTGGAACTTGCCTTCCTCTCTCTCTGTTCTTAGGAGTCCTACAACCAGCACTGTGTGAGTGAGCCCATGTTAGCCTGTTAAATAATGAGTGCACAGTGGCCAGCTCACCCCATCACACAGGTGACACTGAGCCAATAGCCACATACCTCCTGACTTTTGCACTTGCCATTCTGTGGCCTGGAGCACCTTCCACTTCAAAAAGCTGCCATCTTTCTTCTAAGCTGTTTTGTCTTATGATTTGTTGCTGGGGATGGAACCCAGGGTCCATCAGTCTCTTTCTATTTCTCTCTCTCTCTCTCTCTCTCTCTCTCTCCCATACTAGGCAAGGGCTGTACCACTTCCCAACCCTTCCACATATCCCTTCAGTTCTTGATGCTAAAGTCACCTTCTTGGGAAAGCCTCTTCCGATCACCCAGTCTTACATTACAACCCCTCCCACGCCCTCGCACAAGCCCTTACCACCATCTGACAGCCTAGATTTTGTTTGTTGGGTTTTCTTTTTGTTTTTTGGTCTATCTGCCTCAACAGAACAGTCATTTGTTTCTATTTGGTTTATGTCATGTCATCAGTGTCTGGTAGCCAGTAGGTATTCGGTTAATATTTGTGAACAAAGGAAAGGAAATTGAGGCAGAAAGAAGTGTGGCTACCTGTACCTGCTCAAGGCCCACAGCAGATAGACTGAAGAAGCTAGGTTCAATCCCGGGTGGACCAACTTTGAGGCTTTCTACTCATTGCCAGGACTTTGCCGAATAAAAGTCCCTTTGCCCACGTGTGTAGAGTCACACCCTCAAGGTCGACCTGCACACTCAGGTCTGCCCACCAACCCTTGGGATCCCAGCCAATAAGTCCCTCCCTTTACCGCAGGCCCCACATACAGGAACTTGCCGTCAGTCTGTGCTCCAGAGTAGAGTTTGCGCTCCGCCTCCTCGCGTGTCAGGCTGCTGTGGTACCAGGGCATCCTCTCATGGGCTGTGGTAGCTATGAGTTTCTCCACCTGCGGGGCCTGGCTGATGATTGCCTGCTCCAGGGCGTCGCCCTAGGGAAGGAGGGGTAGGAGGACTGTAGGTGTGGTCAAGTACAATGTCACTGGAAATTGTTTCCATCTCCTGGGCCACCCCCTTAGCCCCCAATTGCCCATTCCATAAGACTATCCCCCCACCCAGGGTTTTGTGCATCACATAGGTTGTTGAGGATGACCTCCTCCATCTCCAAGGTCTCCTTCCTCACCCACCCAGGGAGGCATCATGCCTGGGCCCCACCTTCCAGCCTAACCCCTAGCACTTCTCCAGCTTGAAGATCAGATGCAGGTAGATGCACGCTCTGGGATAGTGAAGGCTGTGAAATATTACAGCCCACTGTCCCCATTTGCCGCCCTACCCAGGGCACAGCCCCACCCCAGGCATAGTCCTGTGGGGCCGAGCCCCCTGTCTAAGAAATCTGGAAATCCTCCAGGCCCAGAGCAAGCCTCCACCTTTCAGTCTGGCATAGTCGTACATCTTAGCAATGCTCAGGCCACTCCAGAGCTTCTTCCCAGGTCTTGCTCCCAACCAGGGCCTCAACTTTTTCGCTTCCAAATCCCGCGTCTCGGAGCATCGCGCAGGCAGGCGAAGAAGGTCCCTCTTTGTCCGCGTCCCCAGCCCCCTAAGCTTGGACACCCCAATCCTCCAAAGCCCCAGCGACCCCTCCCCGATCCCACCCCGTAGGCCCCAGGCCCCGCCCCTCGGGCGCGGTCTCACCTCCAGCTTCCACGTCTGGCGCACGTAGTCACGCACCATTGCGTCGCGCAGGTTGTCGAAGACTCCGGGCTGTGGCTCGAGGCCCGATGGCCGGTTGCAAGGCTTGCGCAGGTTGCAGGGCAGTCCGTCAGGGTCCAGCGAGTAGAACTCGCAGAGCTCGGCCGGACCACAGTGCGCCTTCCCGCCTGCGATGGCGTAGGTGCCATTGAGCTGGCGCTCGATGGAGAAGTGGTGGAAGCGCACGTTGTACACCAGCGACAGCACGTAGCCGCCCAGCGAGCGCAGGCACTGGCGCAGCAGGAACAGCCCGTCGGCCATGCCCGCCAGCTTCAGGTGCTCCTCGGCCTCAGCTCGCGAGATGCTGCCATAGAAGAAGGGCAGGTGCGCCGCGGGGTCCGGCATGGCCTCCGTGTCCCGCGCAGGATGCGCGCCTCTGCGCTTCGCCAGATCCTGTGGGTTCGGAGGAGAGATGGAAGCACATAAGGGGCTGCATTGCCCTTCCTGAGCCCGATCTGTCGGGCCGGGAGATAGCAGGAGAGATGCTGCAACCTATGGAGAGGACACCGCAGCTTGCTGGACACAGATCGGGAGTCCCTACTCCGCCCCTGACTTTTCACAGAGCTGCGCAGAGCGTTTAGGCACCCACAACTGCTCCCTATGCCACAGCAGCTGAAGTCATCCATTCCTTTCCCAGACATGTGTTGAATTCTTACTGTGTTTCAAGCTAGGTGTGGAGGCTATAGATGCTTAAGGCAGATGTGATCCTTCCTGACCTCCTGGAGATAACACTGTAAGGAGGGGGTGCAGTAAACAAAGAGAACCAACATAATCATTAAAGATTGAAGGCAGGATTAGGAAAGGAAATAGAGTTGTGTCAGGAGAGGAGAGGTTCCTATTGCTAGTTTGGTCTCCTTCTCTGACAAGGTCGCACTTGAGCCAAGATCAGAAGGATGAGGAGACAGCTTTGCAAAAAGCCAAATGTGAAGGGTGGGGGTGAGGGGAGCTAGCACAGCAGCAAATTCAAGAGCCCTGAAGCTCAACAAGCTTTGCTTATTAAAGGAAACTTATTCCATCAGCTTGCTCCTCCCTTCCACTGACTTTCCCTCAAGCCTCAACAATTCCCCCTTGCTCTGCCCTTCTGCCTTCCTTGACAATTTTTACAAAGCACAAGCTAACCTGGATATCCATCCATAAGGGGATTGGTTAAATATATTACAGATTAACTCTAATGTAAACGGTCATACAGCCATTAAGATGAGATGTGTGATTGAGGGAGGAGGAATAGAGAGATAATCTGGTAAGTCAAATAACTTAATATTGATTACCTTAAACTTCCTGAAGTGATAGTGATGTCCTACGTCTTGGTAGGAATTAGGTTACACAGGTGTCTGAATTAATCAAAACTCAGTGTGCTGGAGGCGAAAAGCCCTGAGTTCAAGCTCAAGTACCATTAAAAAAAAAAGAAACCCTCAAAGTGTATACTTAAAATTTGTTCAGTATATTGTATTTGCTCCTCTTCCCATAAAGCCCAATAAAATATTGGGCCCTTCTTAATGATCTGCATGCAGAATGTTTAGGCTGTGACCATCCTGATGCAGCAATTTATTTCGAAAGACATCCAAAGTATAATCTCGGTTAAATGGAAGGATAGAGGGGGATGGACACTTAAGTAAATAGATGCAGTCAATTCTTGTTATTCACAATAGTTCTAGAAAATCACTGAAAACACTGAATTAGCAAATAGTGAACCGCTGACCCTAGAGTAAATAGGATTCAGGTTCCTGCAGACTCTCACATTTTCATCCAGTGATAATATGTAACAGTTTTATGTGTATGTATGTTTTAAGACAGGTTGTTAGGCTGGGGATGTAGCTCAGTGGTAGAGCAATTGCTGAGCATGCAGAAGACCCTAGGTTTCTTCTCCAGAACACCGCCCTCCCCTTGCAAAACCCCAGCTTTGTTAACATGTATTGTTGATTCGTTAACACTGAACTGATGGCCAGCAGCACTGTAAACTTCTCTGCACCATGTTCTTCCATTAGGCACATCACAGCCACCTTTTCCCACTCGGCCACACTATGTGACACTTCGGCACTGTGCTTGGCGCCATTTAAACAGTAAAATCACCCACAAAAAGCACAAAGTCTCAAGGAATGTGGCACCAAATAGACAGTGAAAAAGGTATTTCTTTAGTACGGTGCTTGCCTAGCTGTGAACAAGGCCCTGGGTTTGATCCCCAGCACAGTGGGGGAAAAAAAAAAGAGGAGGAAAGAAAGAAGAGAAGAAAGGCACTTATTTCCAGTATGACAGTGAAATGAGGAGGCAGAGTCCACATTGCTCAACCTCAGTGGGACATGATCAGTGACTCAAGGATTTTCCATTCTGTGTTCATCTGCAGATAACCAAAAAACACCGTACTGGTTTGAGGATAACAAGTAAGTTTTAGCAAGTGTGTGATCACAAATATGGAATCTGTGAATAATAACCTGTAAGGAAATGTGGGCCCCAAAATGAGCATGTGGAGAGGAGTGATCTGGCCAAGAGATTCTTTATTGCTGAGTGGGAGAGGGAGAGAGCAGAGAGAGCCAAGAGAGAGAGAGGCAGGAAGGGCAGGGGCTTAAATACCCCTCAGTGAGACTCAGCATGATCTGATTGGTTAGGATCTTATGGTTCATGCTGATTGGAGGTTGGGGCAGAAGGAGGGTTCAAGCTAGACTTGAGGCAGGACTGTGACCCTGGGAGGCAGGACCGTGATCCTGGAAAACAGAAGTTAAGGGTGCAGTAAGAACTGAAACCCATTGGCGCCATTATTGCCAACATAACCAACTTCTATGATAAATATAGAAAAATGTGAATTACAGGATCTAGGGCTGGATATCAGGAGTACAATTCACTTCATTTTCCATAGACTTGTAAGTTTTTATAGAGTATTGAAAATCTTGGTTCCTGATAACAGTTACTGGTTCTTTCTCTAAGGTGTGCCCAGCAAAGCTACCTGGGTATAAATTGTGTTGGGGTGATGCCCTTTTTAGTTATGCAAATGTGAGCAGAGTATAAAGCAAAGCTTTTGTGGATTGAGAAAGGCTGCCTCTGCCTTGGTGTGCAGGGACATGAACGATGGGCTCTGGAGCCAGAGAAAGACCCTTGAATGGGAGTTAGGAGAGGTCTGGGTCAGGACAGCTGGATGCTCTGTTGCTGGAGATTGAGAGGGCCAGACTTGAATGGGTCCCGGATGTTCCAACAGTTACAGGCAAGACTGCCCATGAGCAAAATGGGGATGAAACTATGTCCCCACCTGGAGAAGAGTGTTTAAAAAGAGTGTTTTTTAGCTGGGTGTGGTGTATCATGCCTTGTAATGCCAGCACTCAGGAGGCTGAGGCAGGAGGATCAAGAATTTGAGGCAAGTCTGGGCTGCCTGTCTCAAAAAATAAAGAAAAAAAAAAGGGAAAGCTTTTTAAAGAATGTTTAAAAAATAATGTTTAAATGCATTGTGAAGACTTCTAGGTATTGACCTTAGAGAAATGGAAACTAACACACTGAGAAAAACCTATACAGAGATATTTATTATAGTTCTATTCATAACTGCCAAAAATTAGGAAATGCAAACATTTCTAACCAGCTGGAGAGGTACAGTGTGGTACCACCTGCCTACAAAGAGTGCTACTCAGCAGTAAAATGGACTGAAATACGAATGCACATAGTCATCTGGAGGCCTCTCAAAGGGCACTTCCTGAGTGAGCACAGCCAGCCAGAGCCTTGGGCTGTGAACCAAGGTCCATCTGACCTGCAGGATGGAGGACAAATTGGTGAGGGTTAGGGGACATTGGAGCTGACAGTCTACGTCTTGATGGAGGTCTAGTAATCCCCTGTGCATTTAACAAAGCAAATTTTCACTAGAATTGTATATAAATTTTATGTATGTATGTAAATTATATCTATTTTTTTTTAATAAGGGGGAAAGGACCTGGAAGTATGACAGTGTTGTGCACAAAAAATAATAACTGAAACAGGAAAAGTTATTAAGAGCCATCTACACTGCTGTCTCCACTTCCCTGACCCCCACACCACCTCTCCTCCAGCTTCCAAGCCTGTGCCACCCTCCCTCAGCTGCTCCCCAGCACTGATGCCACCATCAGTGGTGCCCTCCTCAATGCTGGGTTCCCCAAGTGATGACACCATGACCCTTCCTTCCTGCTTGGACCTCACAGATCTCTGTTCCTTAGCAAAGTCCTGATTTGCCTCCTGCTCTGATTCTTCCTGCTCTCTCTCCTGCCCCCCACATCCCCACCCACCCTTCTCTCCTTAACTGGCTACCCTGTCTATTATAGCTACACATGCTGCCACACACACCCCTCCCCCAACCCAGATCTCAGGCCTGACATTGGTTTGTGTTGCCAGCATCAACCACCACCACTATGATCTCCACCAAGTGTTTCTATTAATACAACCTGAGATCCAGATAGAACTCACTTGGTACCTGTGGTTGGCTGAACCTTAGTCAGTTTCCACTTGGCCTAAGTAACATCTAGGATTAGCAAGCTGCTCCCAGGCAATTCTTCCTTAAGGCCATGGTTGCTAGAGAACTGTTGCATTTCCCTATGCCTCCCTCATTGAATCTAAACTGCTCTGCCCCCTCCTCTTCTTGGGCCGTGTTATTTGCCTTCCTTCAAATTCACTTTCATACTTTTATCCACACAGAGCCCTCCATTTAGCGTGCCTTCTCTCTTCTCCCTTTTCTCCATTTCCCAAATCTAGTCAGCCCTTCCTGGAAGTCTCCTGGAACTGCCCCCAGAGCTTGAGGCAACAAGGTAAGGGCTTGTCTGGGAACTGTGGGGAGGGGTGGATAGCAAGGCTGGTCTCTGGGCAGGAAGCTGTGGCAGGAAGCACAGTTTGAGAAGCCCCGCCCCACAGTGGCCACAGGTGCAGCCTGGGTAGCTGAAAGCAGGTTAGAGCACAACAGAAGATGGGGGAGACTGGCCTTTGAGAGCCAGTCTAGGGCCACAGCTGAAATTGGCACCTCACATCCAAGGCTAAAGTGGCCCAGAGTCATGGGCTTGCCTGTGGATCTCAGCTTTGTCTCATCTTCTTATCCTGGTGCGAATGACAACCATGGTGACAATAGCAATAAAAACCATTACCCCTGCCCAGCTTCTGCATCCGCTTCCCTCTCTGGCCTTTTGGATCATCCTTATTGGTGAAACACAGGGACCAAGTCCCCCAGGGACCCCATGACCAGCGATGCTGAAGAAGGCAGTGGAAGAGGACAGGAGGCAGAAGGGCCAGGGACAAGACACTGGAGCAGGTCTTCACGCTGTTCTCCCTCTGCAGGCCAGGCAGGCATGGATCTGCTGCTCTCACAAGAGCTGGGCCCGTCTGCAGCCTCTCAGCATGGCTTAAGATTCAGGACCATGGAATCAAATGCACTGGGCTGGACCACCGTTGGCATGTTCATACCCCAGACCTCACCTTGCCCCCCTGGCCAGTCCCCTACTGCCTTTTCTTGAGCTCACAGCTTTGAGGTCCTCATTTGTCCTTGCCAGAGTTTACAGGCTGCCGGATGGCCCAGAGACAGCCATGGGACCCTAACCTTGTTCTCATAACACAAGCCAGAGGGATGAGGAAACTTTTGATCCTCAGCAGGACAGAGTTGCCTGAAGTTCCACCAGTCAGTTGTCCTATTTGAGTAACATCTGCGTTAAGTCGTACCTGTTGGAGACAGACTTGATATCCCAAACTTCAAAGGGAGAAAGGGCCAAGTGGTCAAATGTACTTTCATGGGCTGGGGAGAGCACATTAAAGGCCCTGAGATGGCCTATGTGGAAGGAACTTTCTGGCTTTTTGTAGTTAACACAGCTGTCAAGGTCTACTGTTCCATGGAACATACTCTGAGCATCAAAAGTTCATATCAGTGCCCATGGTAAGACCCCACAGGGAGGCTGAGGCACCCTTGACAAACAGGGAAGAACTGATTGGACTGGTCCTGGCAGGAGACCTAAGGGCTCCATGTGCCATCCTCAGCCAGAGACAGTAACATTCCCAGGGATACTGGCTTCTCAGTGTCCAAGACGTAGCACAGGTATTTGCTACCCAGCAAAGTGCCATTTTGTTAACATGATAAGCCACAGTGACAGCATTTAGATTTATTGAACATGCCTTGGAAGGTGACAGGCTCCTTTGTATGCTTTGTCTAACACAGGAGCAGATTCTAAACATGGGCATGGATCTACCACAGAGTGGCAGTGTGGTCCTGGGCAGTGAGCTAAGCTCACCTGACCACTCTGAAAATGGGGCAGTGAAGGTGACCAACACTGGGGGAGAGGTTTGCAGGGACTCAAAGCACCAAGCACAGGGCCTGGTTCTCCCTTCGTGCTGTCACATCCCACTCTGCCTGAAGCCCATAGGGCTCCCACCTCACTTGGGATAACAGTTCACAGAGGTTCTCAAGGCCCTGCATGATGTGTCATGACCTCTTGAACTCACTCACTCTCCTCCAGCCATGTAGGCCTCCTTAGGTTACTTGCTCAGGTCTCTTGGCAGCTGGTGGGTGGAGGGAGCATGGTTCAACCTCAGGGCCTTTGCACTTCCGGTTCCCTCTTCCTAGACACTTACTCTCAGTGCTCTGCATTTTAGTCTGGTTTCTGCATAAATGCCTCCTCCTCCAACGTGCCTTCCCTGACAGCCTCTCCTCGTCTCTCCTCCCTGCCCAACTCATTGTTCTTCATTACCTAAAACAGGACACACATGAATCAACATGTTGACATATTATCTCTGTCCCCTGCTAGAGGGAAAAGCATTCTGACAGTGCAGACTTTGTGTTTTTCCGGCCTCTATTAGCAAGGCTCACGGTAGGTGACTGATAGATGTTTGTGGTGGGCAGAAGCTGCTCACACTGGGGACCTAATGAGGAATGCCATCCCCTGTGATGGTGGAGACATTTCTGAGTTCACCTGGACCCACAGACTGGCCTGAAGGCTTTGTGCACTCATGGTGCCAGAGGACAGGACCAGTACAGGGGACCTCTCCATAGCTGCCTCTCCTGGTCATGTGCTTCAGGCCTCTCAACCCTCCCCTCCTCTTAGATGTTTCATGACTCCCACCCTCCCTCCCCAGGATAGGTCAGGCACCTTCTTGGGGTTCCCAGGATTCCCACATTAAGGCCCTGATGGCTGTGAATCATCACATCTGTGACTCCTTTGTCCCTGACCAAGCTGGACTCCAACGCAGAGCCCCCAGCTGTTCAGCTCTCTTCTGTGTCCCTTGCTAAGAAATGGTTGCCAAACAGTGTCAACACCAGCAGCTGTGTGGCAGGCTACATCACACCTTTCATGAGCATCTCCACTTAACCTAATCCTGAGCACAACTTAGTATGTGGGAGCTTTTGTCTCCACTCCCAGCTAGGAAACTGTGGCTCAGACAAGTGAATGTTGTGTTCAGAATCATGGGGCCTCCACATGGCAGTCAGGAATTGACCCTGGGCCTCTCTGAAGCAGCACTGACACTAACCTCACTTGCAAAGGTTCATTCAGAGAGCAGAGCCCACAGCTCTGCACTGGGTAACTAGGGGCTTCATATCCCTATCCTCTGTAGTTGGCCCAGTTTCACTGCTCTTTGAGCTGCCCTTGATTGTCAAAGCCTAGAGCTGGACTATTCGGAGGTTGGGGACAGGTCCCCAAATCCAGCACTCTGCATGGGTGTGTTAATTGGCTGAACAATGTCCCTCTACCCCCTGCTTCTAGGTCAGTCCCCTCCAATAAACCTCCACTGCTTGGGTCTTAAGAGCTGTGTGATTCCACAAAAAGCTCTCCCTGTCTGGATCTCAGCCTCCAGAATAATAAAATGGACAGGGGAAAAGGCAGGGAAAGGTGGAGTGAGCACAGGAGTGCACAGCCTGACATAGCAGAGCTAGTAATAGTAATTAGGATCATAGCAAGATGCTTTATAGAACACTTTTTATGTGCCAGGCACTTGGGATGTGTTCCCTCACTTAATCCTCAAGAGAAGCCCAAAAGGAAGGATTTGTAAATATGGATTATGAGGCACAGAGAGGTACAGTGACTTGCCTAAAGTCACATAGCAGGCAAGTGGCAGAGTCAGAACTTGAATCCAAGACCCCTGGCTCTGTACTTTAGCACCTTCTAGCCTGTCTACCTGCCCAGGGTCCCTGCCAGGGCTGCATGGGTGAGGCTGGAGGACAGGTGGGAAAGGAAGAAGCAGCTCTGGATTAGGCACAAGAAATTTCATGAGTGGTACCTTCCGTCCTGGGACTTCCGGGCCCTAATCCATCAGCAAGGCTTTATTAAGCACCTACTATATGGTCACTTCCCTAGCCAAGACAAGAGTAAGACGTACAAACTCCTGTTCCTTCCCGCTAAGACTCTTCTGTTGGAGACTCCTTTCCTAGCCTTACTCCACAGTCACGATATGCACCTTCTAGCTGACAATATTTGTATCTGCATTTAACACATGCATAAATTGAGGCTCAGACAGGACACACAATGGTCAAGCAGAAACCAAGTGGTTGACTTCTTTACCTCTTTGAGTCCCCCTTTAATCTGTGCTTGCCAATAAGTGGTTTGAACCTGCCCTTGCCCTGGGCCTCCTCATTGCATTTTGTTGCTCAAGTTCAAAGTCAATGCCACCCTTACATTCCCAGGGCCTGGGGCCCAGAGTACATATTTTCTTTCTCTGGAGGTTTCTCTGCTTCCTGAAGCCATGGATGCAGCCCCAATAGGACCCAGGAGAAGGCCAGAAACCAAGCAGACATCTCTGTGTTCCCTGGACACTACCATACTGCTGACCCTCTGGGGGGGGTTGCTGTTTTCCCCAGAGTGGCCACAAGCCATGTCTGCTTCCTTTTCTAAGCAGACACCACCCAGTGCAGCCCTATAGCCATACTGTTCCTCCCCAGCAGCCTCCAGGCTCTTGGCTGATACTCTATCCTTCTCCATAGACAGGCCACCCCAGGGCTAGCAGCTGTGCTGTCCATCTGAGCTGGACTCACCTGGGGATGTGCAAGTGGATGTCCAGGCAAGCAGGCCACCTGTGGAATCTTTGGCCCCAACACCAAGACAGAGCTGGCTCTAGATGAATATTTGATGTCCAAGAAGTGAACTTGGGTTTCCCTGTAACTGAGTTCCAGTCTTTGAGCCTCTGCGGACACCCGCCTTCTTCACACACACAGCAAGTGTAAGCAAGTCACTTCCTGCCAGGGTTCACACCTGGGCGGGGGGAATGTTCACCCTCTTCTGCTCCAGAGTCCCCTTTGGGTGGCCATGGTGACAGAATATGGGTTGAAGTTGTGAATATGCCCACTCACCTGAATGCCTCAGCGACAGCGCTGAGGCCCACGTAGGGTAGGGCCTGGCGGGAAGGCCTGATGTCTCTTGGGCTCTCTCACCAGCAGACTTCTCTGCAACTCAGCCTATTTCCTTGATGTGAAGACAGGAAGGAGGACTGTGTTTGAAGTGTATGTCAAAGTGACAAAGTGCTGTGTTCAAGGAAAATCACAGGCCACATGCTCCTGGGAGGGTAGAGGGAACTTCCGGGACCCCACACAGTGTCTGCCCCCAATGGTGTGGGGTGGGGAGACGTAAAAGGGAGATGAAAGTTGCTGTAGGCAGGGGTCATGTGAGAAAGATGATGTCGACAGCAGCCCCCAACCCAGAGGGGGAGAGAAGAGGGGAACTGAGTGTGCTGGAATGGGGGTGGGGCAAAAGGAAGGAGGGAATTCCCCAGGACCCACTGGAAACTGGAAACCCCTCCTTTCCCTTCCCAAGGAGGGGCGATTTATCTATTTCAGGGACAGGTTAAAGCTGGAGGGAGGAGAAGCCCACTGAGTGAGGCTGTACCCGAAGTTTCAGAGCTCCTCCTGTATGCCAGGCGTGGTGATGGCAATGACCTCCATCTCTGCCATCAGACTGTGGGGGAGGAGTGTGCAGCTGAGTCCTCGGGAGACCGAGGCTGAATGCCGTTGCACCCAGAGGAGTCCCAGTGCATCCCAGGTGTCAGGGAAGTTTGCTGGGAGAAGTCAGATTCCAAAGGAGACAGGGTGTCCCCCAGTGCCCACACGACCCAGCCTGGCCCCACCAAGGATGGTCACTTTTGGCTGATGACCACCTGCCCCTCAGGCCACAGCCTCTTCCTAATCCTCCCCTCCTCCATTCTCTCATACTTGCCCACCATGATGGCATCCCTCCATCCTGGTCCAGAAGCCACACCTCATATCCATGCCCTTACTGGTTAAGGTCTCTGAGGACCTCTACCCCTCATCACCTCCTTGCCTCATGGATTCTGTAGAAGGTCTTCAGCACCCTGCCATGGATGGCCTAGGCCACTGTTGAGACCCCTAAGAACCTGTCTTTCCTGAGTCCTTGGGCTCAGCTGCCAAATTGCCTGAAAGTCCCTTCATGTCCCACCCAGGTCTGCTTCCTCAGAGACCTCCTCCCCAGGTCTCAGCTGTGATCTGGCTGCTTAAGTTCCCCATCCAGAAGGTGCTCCAGGCTAGGATCCTTTTCCTCTGCATAGATTGCAGGAGGCTGTTTTTGTCCAAAGCTCCCTTTCTCTACAAACACCATGCAACTCCAGGTGCAGAATGTCTCTTCATGCTTGCTGGGTACCTTTTTCTTGGAGTAATGAGAGAAGAATATTCAGCAGACTGAAAAGAGGAAAAAATCACAGCATGAGAATAACAAAACCTCAAAAACAATAGTAGCAACTAGGATGTGCCATTCGATGTTGCAAGCACTTTACAATTAATAACCCAATATTCCAGACAAGGTAAGTGAAGACCAGAAAGACAAATAACAGATGGCAAGCGTCCCAGCAGGATTGTCCCCACGGCTCAAGCACTGATGGACACAAGAGGAGAAAACATTGGGTGTAAAATATCTTGGAGGGAGAGAGTGGACTCCCAGGAAACTGGGAGCTGAGCAGGTCTCTTGCGGGCATCACGGTGCAGCAGCTTTTGGGACACTTGGGGTTGGGGCTTCTAGGTGGGCTGAGGCTTTCAGTGTCTGGGGTCTCCAGGCCCTCTGCAGGGCACTCCCAACCTCTGAAACCACCAGCTCAGGAACCTTCTAACCCCCTTCCTGTCCCAGACGCCACATCCCGAAACTGGAAAGTGTGAAGAAGCAATGTCTGTGTGGGCCTTGCTGAGATGTGCTGCAGATAAGTGAGATTGGTCTGCAGATAAGCTGGTCTGTTCCACCAGCATGGAGGGAGGTGGATGTGTATTTTCAATGTTCAGAGGAAAGCGCCAACGGATGGAAATTGGCCTGGGACAGTGGTTCGGGTAAATACTCTAGAAATGCAAAGAACCTCGGAAGAAATTGTTGGCTTGCCCTCACGCCTCCAGGTCTCTGCCCACGCAGCAACCCCGCCTGAGCTCTCTTCAACTGCCTTGTTACCATTCACGTTCTGGGTCTCTGATTCAATTGGCTTCCACTAGGAAGCCTTCCAGATCCTCAGACTGGGCAAGGGTGGGACTCTGTGTCCATGTCGTCTGAAGATAAGTAGGCCAGGTTTGGCTCCACAGTGAAGGGAACACATTTGGAGCCTATGGAGGCTCCAGTCTTCCAGAGCTCAGCCATCCCCAACAGATCCTCCTGGGTAAACTTGCACACACTGAAGCTTACTGCCTTCCCCCTGGGTGGTCAGACAAATAGGGCATTTCACTTTCTTGTTCTTTTCTGGTTCTGCCACTAACTGCTGGGGGATCTAGAGTAAGTTACTTGGCCTTGGTTTCCTCATTTGGGAAGCAGGGGTGACAATAGTACCTGCTTCACGGGGCTGACTGCCATCCTCACAACATGGTCCCTCATTTCCCAATTTCTGCAGTGCTAGTAACTGCAAGTTCAAGTGTACCCATGGTGTTGTCATGAGCCCTCCAGAGGTAGCTCTGGAGTACTGCAGGCTACCAAGTGCAACCTAGGAAGCTCTGAAGGTTGAAAATGACCAACACCCTCCCTCAAACAAAAACTTAACCCTGGCTAATTCAACCCAGAAAAGAATTGATTGTCTACACTGGCCACATGCTGTGCCCACCCCTGGGGGCTTCTCAAAGGCCTGGCTCCTTCTACAACCTTCAGAGCACCATGGTACTCTCACTGTCTCAGAGGGCCCTTTGGGTGCTTACTGCTTATCTAACAGTGAGCACCTACTCCATACCTGGTCCTGTTCTAGGAACAAGGAAGCTGCTGTGAATGCCACAGTTGCAAGTCCTTCCCTTGTGGAGCATTCTCATGAAAAGACAGAGACTCAGCAAAGCAAGTGTTTCACAGAGTATAGCAGGTGGAGAAAAATAAAACAGGAAATGGAAGATGTGAGTGTGTAATTTGGCATGGAAGGGTCAGGGCAGGACTCACTGAGGTGAGAACCTGTGAGTGAAGATGCGAAGTAGGCACAGGAGAGATCTGAGGAGGGAGTCAAGGAGGTACTGGGGGCTAAGCAGTACAGGGAGAGGGAAAAGCAGGTGAAGGTGAAGCAGGCAGGATTGCGCTGTTTGTGAGGTGGGGACTGTCCTCCCCCCAGCTCTGTCCCCAGCAACTAGAGTAACACCTGACACGGAACAGTATTCAATAGATACTTGTATATATGGATAAAAATTCCAGGTGTGAGTTCTAGGAACAGCTTGCCCTGGGCTCAGATGTTGGCTTCTTTCACAGACAAGTTTTCTCCCCATGTTCCAAGATAAGGACTCACTCTCAATTCCTAGGCGAGTAGCAAGAGTCTTTCTCAATATTCCCAGCAAAAATCCTAACACAGCTTACTGGATGAGTGGAACACATGTCCAATCCTCAACCAATCCATGAGGCCAGTGGATAGATGGACGTGGGAGAGGCTTAAGGCCAGATCAGGAATGAGTGGCTGCAGAGAGGAGAGGGTGCTGGGCAAGCAAAGAGCCAACATCTTGCAGAAAAATTAATTATTTCTTGATATGAAGCACTATTAGATACTGGCTGACCCCAGCAAGCACCTACTCCATGCCTGGCCCCATTTTAGGTACAAAGGACCTGCTATGAACACTGCAGCAAGGACTAGCGCTAGAAGCTCACCAAGCTAGTCCCATTTTATAGACATAAAAACTGAGGTCAAGAGGAAACCAAGGCTAATATTTCACAGCTAGGAAGTGATAGAACACGTGCAACAGAAATACAGAGCCTCCATAGGGCTTGAACCTCAAATCCCCAATGCTGCCCAGTGGCTACCTCACCAATCTAGAGACAAGGCAGATGGACCACTCACCAAGGGGAGGTCAGACAGACAAAGCAGATGGAGTCCCCCCTTTGTTGTAGAAAAAGCAAATGAAAATGACAGCTCCTATATACTCCAGGGACTCACAGGTAAGGCAGGGCAGCATAGCCTGGCTGGTTCATCAAGTCGAACACTAGGTATAGGTAGGGGGACCACAGGGGTGTGAGCTGCCTCTCAGGGGCATGTCAGAAAGGTTGGAATGAGTGAGGTGAGCTCACAGGAGAATCTAGCATTTGTGGTGTGCCTGCTGTATACACAGCCCCTGCAGACACCTCTCAATCCAAGCTCAAGACCCTACTGAAGCAAGCTCAAGCATCTACTGAAGACTGTTCCATCAGCTTTCTTGGGTGTCTCCAGAACTTAGACCAGCACAGTCCCTGGCATGCAGTAGGTGCTCTATAAATGTTTGCTGCTGAAAGACCCACCCAATAGCACTGCTCAGAGAAGGCCAAGGCAGGAGGAATACCAGAGTCTAGTTGGGCTCCACTCCCCAGGGTCCCTGCTTGAGAAAAGGGTCTGAGGCTGGCAGACATCCAGAGGGAATGGTTAGAGTACAGAGGCCACCTGTTCTCTCTTGGAGCACCTGCGCTGGCCAACCTCTCAGGGACTGTTGGTGAAGAGGGGGTGTGCACCCTCCCCTCCATTGTCTGTGAAATGGGGAAGGCCATGCTCACCTAACAAGGAAAGAACTAGAGCCCAGAGCCAAGAACTGAGCCAAGGGCAGGCCCAGGAAAGTCAGCCCCCACCAGACAGCTTTAGGAGGGTGGACATGTTGGGATAAACTTGCCCACTAGGATATCATGCCTGGCACAGGGGGCAACCAATAAATACTTGCTCCAGTAGGGATCAACGCTCAATAACAACAGCTGTTGTTGATCCTGCTGGTGCTGCCCAGGGAATCCATTCTTCCCATCCTCCTCCAACCTCACCCTTTGCCATCCCATGTGACTTGCCCCCCATCCTCCTCCTCCTCAACACTTTCTCTGTTCAAATCCTTCCCAACCCCACCACTTCACTCTTTCTCCACTTTCCCTTCACCCCCCATTCCTCCACCCTCACACTCAGGTCTTCCTTACTCCTCCCTTATCCCATGCCCCCACCCTGTTCTTTCTCCCTTCTTGCCTCTCCCACTTACCCACTCCTCAGCCCTCACCTCATTCCTTCTCCTGC